GGACAATGATTTTCTTTGCCAAGCTGAAGATGTCATGGATGCTGTGATTCTGAACGATATCCGCAATCACTACATTCCCGAATGTGTTCTTGCCTACAACAGCGCATTGTGGTTTGCAGGCCACTTCTCTTCCCGTGCATGGCTTGTTGAGTGCATGACGCTAGCCCAGGTAGTTGCAGAAACTCCCATGCTTACCAATGCCTTTGTGACGAGTGGAAGAATGAAGGAACTTGTCCGTGCCTTTGCGGTTGATAGCCAAGCTCTTCTACAAGCAACTGAGCAAGGGGCTGCTGGTGGTTCAGGCGCAAGTGCCAGTCGGACCAAGAAGATCAAGACGGATAAAGGAAATGCGGAGATTTGGAAGGTGTCGTGGAAGGAACAGACGGGACCCCTGGATTTGGAGGCGGTGGACTGAGCACAATACAATGTGAGCGTCCTCTGTACCATTAGCTGGCGGATGCAGAAAACGATGGCGAAAGAAATCAAGGTGCATGATTGGATCACCAAGAGCTTGGTTATGAAGCACACCGGGATAGCTCCTGTGGAAGCATCTGTTTGCAAGAAGGTACCTGGAGCCTACGAGCTCACTTGTTCATTGTCATCTCCATTCTTCTGGTAAGCCAATGTAAAGTATGGGGTGGATGAGGCCTTTTCTCCAAGCATTCCGCGGTTTCAGTACCAGTGAGATGAGCGTAGCGAGAACCTCGTGTGCTGTCAAACATGCTCGGCATCAATAATACGGAGTAACAATGGCAAAGACGGCGGGCCAGGGTCGTGGTTTGGGACGAGGCTGAAGCGAAATTATGTAGAGATTCCTTTGCCCCTTGTCGAGTCTCCCCCTTGACGCTAACGCTGACGGCGCTCACATGGATCAGCGTATCTATGAGCGTCGAGTGCCGAGTATCACCTCGCACGAGCAGTGACTCACGACGCCGTGATACGCGTAGAGCGAGGACGAGGACGAGGGCGGGGGCTGGGGACTGCGGCTGGGGGATAGAAGGAGGAGAGGAATAAAACCTGGGTCTCTAAATCCAGGAGTAGGACGCCGGTAGTAGAATATCAAATCCCACAAAGGAGACAATTACCTCGATCTGGGGATTTGGTGATTGAGATCGGAGGTGATGAATTCTGTCCGTCTGTTGTCGTCGATATCATCATTACCCTCGTCCTCGCCTCGATCAATATCTCCTCGCCCTTTTCATCCTGTTTCCCTGGCCCTCTGTGTGTCTGTCTGTCTATCTGTCTGTCTGGTCCAAAATCTAGCCGGGCCTTAGCAAGAGCGGCCACACGCCTTGTCTTGGATCAATGGGATCATTATCAATGGCAGGGCCCGAATCTTGGGTGGATGGAACATGGATGTATATGGAAAGACCGTGCGAACCTGTACGTTACGTATTACGTTACGTGCGGTACGAGTACATATGTAGATCACAGAGCACAGATCGCGGATCGAGCGAGAGTGCGCGAGGATGAAAATGGTCAATTTAAATGGTGCTGGCTTGACAGCCGGGTCAATCAACCAGGACAGACATGATGTGGGTTTGTGTATATCTCTCTCGCCAAATGCCCTTTCATCCCCTGAAAGTCTGGAATGCTGGCGCTGAAATTGGGAGTTGTCAATGACCCGATCCAGCGAAACCCCCATCCCATGTCTGGCGACGCGCGGAGCAGATTGACAAGAGTGAGTGCTGCGAGTATGAGAGTGTTGAGTCAAGGACAGGGCGGAGGGCGGATGGTGCGGAGAAAAGCAACGAGCTCGTGTCTCTGGTTAGTAAGATTTCATCACTGCGGTGGTGACTATCCTCTTTGTAGTACGAGTAAAATGATTAGACGAAACGTACACCTACACGATCAAATATAAAATCCTCAAGAGACTGGCCATGCTAGATTCAAACTCCTTCAGAGGGCAGTGCGACTTTGTTCCTGGGCGTCTTACTTGTACTCCACGCAGTGCAGCCCGTCGATTCTGACATCCACCCCAATCGAACTATACTGCACAGCCTTGTCATCTGCGCAATCTACCCGATAATCAATCACCACCGACCCGCTTCCTCTCCAGACATCTCGTCGGCACAATGTCAGACAGTGTCAAGATCTATGGGCTCACAGCCCTTCCAGCCGATCAATCCCAAGATAGACCTAGAACAACTAGCCTCGAGGCCATGACCATTTCATCGCTTCAACCTCCAAACTCACCGCTGGCCGCGCGTGTCGACGGCTATGTCAAATCCAAGCTTGATGCTGACACCTACCGCCACAGTTTGCGCGTGTACTGCTACGGCTGCGCCATAGCGAGGCAGTGCTTTCCCGAGTTTGATCTCACGCCAGGCTCCAAACTCGAGGAAACTTGGTTCTTGACCGCCATGCTCCACGACATCGGTACCTGCGACGAGTTCCTGACGAGCACTCGTCTCAGCTATGAGTTCTTTGCCGGTGTCCATGCCTTTGATCTCCTGCAGAATCCAAAGGTATCGGGCGGCGAGGGAGTCGCCCCTCGAGATCAGACCGAAAGTGTCGTCGAGGCCATCATTAGACACCAAGATGTGCAGGACAAAGGAAACGTGACTCTAGTCACCAGACTGATCCACTGGGGAACGCTGTTGGACAACATTGGCGCTGGAAAGGAGTTGGTCCACCCAGAGACCATCGAGAACGTCGTCCGAGAGCACCCTCGCCCAGGATGGGCTGGTTGCTTTAAAAGAACCGTTGAGAAAGAGAAGAAGTTCAAACCCTATGCTATGGTCAGCCGAATTGAAGGGTTTGAAGAGCTCATTGCTCAAAATGGAGCCCCGGGAGGACTGATGGCCAAGTATGATGCCGCAAAATAATCTGTAACTATGACTATGCGAATTAGTCTTGATGAGTCCATTTCAGATTATGGGCGGTTTGAAAACATTTTCCTATTTCATGCTTCTGGCGAAACGTGGAAGCTCATGATGCGCAAACCAGGACAGAATAACGCCTGACCAGCCATCCCACTGGTAGAGCCCATCAATGGCACCGAGCCAATCACTGCACAACGTGTGTCGGACCGTAAAGCCAGCGAGACGATCATGATATCCATGACGTCCATTCCGGGTGGTTGCCTCACTTTAAGGAATTTTACCATATGGATTGAGTTCGTTCGCTTTAGCCTTCAAGCTTGTAAATGGGAGGAAGAAGATCCAGTCTTGTTGTGTATCTCATGTTGCCATTATTGCCGAGCTGGAAAACACCTTTGTGGTCGTGGGAGGCCAAGCATAGTAGTTCCATCAAGAGCCCTCTTGCCAATACTTTTATAATTTCGGGACAACGAGTGGCTTCTTTCATAAAAGCCACGTGTGAGGCTGTGGCAGAAAGAATGGACCGCCGAGCAGAAGAGACGAGGAGAAGGATCTCAACCGGTAGTAGTCGATGGTATTTGACATGCGTGTCGGGTTGATCATGTTTCAAGAAATATTAGATGGCAGAAACTCGCCACTGCAATCAGCCACTCTCTTGCTACAAGTATGCGTATCCGTCGGTCAAAGCAGCTCGATATGTTTACGTCCTGACCCTGTGCAGCCTGGACAGGGACTGTATATCGGAATTGCGTGAGAAGTGGAGTGTCGGAGGCGAACCAATTTGATGGAAGATGATAGGGAGATCAGATAAGGAGCGCTTCCAAGGCAGCCAGGCGTAGCTTGTAGGCTTTCGTTCCACAACAATAACATGCCGAGCTGTGAGAGACCAGGGGGGCTGCCTGATGGAGAAGTCTTAGCAAAGTGGCAGTGCAAAGCCCTGACCACCCAATTCCCAGATGCGATTGGAGAATATCCTTCCTACCTGCAGTAGAGGGCGCGAGACGGAGGCAACGGGGACAGAGGTGAGGGTTTTTTTCATTCCAGGTCCGGAGCATGTCAGACGTATTTACCGCCGAAGACAAGACGGGCAACTGTTGTGGTAGTCGAGAAGAAGGCTATCACAATGAGAAGATAGAGCATCAGAGGTAGAATTCTTCGATATTTGTTTGCGTCCCCATACCTAGTATGTAATCAGGTACCCGAGTGAGCGTGGTCGGCCACTGAATCTCCGACTGAATCTGAGCTGGAGGAAGCTTGGCGCTTTCCAGCGATGCCCAGGGTAGGTACTTCGGGGGCTTGGAGGGAGGGTGCCCGCTGGTGCCCGCATTTTAGAGGCTTAGTTAGTGGTGTTTAGGGACCACTGGGGACCTGGTTTGGGTGGCCAAGCTCCGGTCTGGGGCCTGGACTGTTTTTTAAGATTCCATTAGGTATCGTAGAGCAACTGCGTGCATGCATGATGATCCTGGACCGCCCTGACCGTTTGTTCACAACATCACGTATTTTCCCAACTTTTCTGAGATGGGCTTTGCTGTGTCTTGACACCGAGCAAATGGCCTTGCAGTTTGCCTCGTTCTCTACTTTCTTTTGTACATACTCCTCTTCTTAACCCTTGCCCGCCTTCTTCCCTCATTATTGTTCCCTTTTCTTTGATGGACTTTCCTGTTTGATCGTGAGGCTGACTCCCGACCAACCGACCCCTTGTTGATCCCCTTCACTGTCACACTGTACATTATCCTGTCGACGATTCAGCCTTTCCATAGTAACCGCTATTCCCCAGCCGGCACGGAAGCAACGAAACGTCTTGCTATAGACAGATCGGATTGGAGTATTGGTGTCGCATTGGGACTGGAGACTCCTGTGGTGTGGGCGTGACTTTTGTTAATTCACTGCGATCTGTATGTGTGTTGTCCTTGCCACTTCACGCTCGACTCTCTCACCACCCACCAGTGAAACTATTCTGACCGCTTGGCTACACCAGTTCATCTTCAAATAATTCAACAGTTCACATAATACCGTCATCTATTTCTTCTGCGCCGGACTATTTCGCCAGTACAACTTGGCGCCGTTTCTTGAATGGTCCGCTTTGGAAAGTCGCGCCTCCTGCACAGACACTGAGGAGTCGGGGACATCGCGAGCAACGTCCTCCTCCAAAGTGGCTCTTATACCTCAAGTCCGAGCATGTCTTCACCCTCCGATGGGCAAGCCCCAGAATCACCGAAAGGCACACAACAGAGACCTCGGGCTCCTACAATTAGTATAGACGATACCGCTGTCAACTCCCCTCCTTCCCCCGAAGAACCTCCCAGTGCAGTGTCCGACAAGCCTGGGCCTTTACCACGAATACAAACATCTGGACTGGAATCCGAGCCTACCCTCTCCTCCCCACTTTCAGTGTCGCCAACTGATGTTCGACCGTCCTCGGACACTCGCGAGTCGCGTCCCACCTCTCCTCATAATGTTTCCTCTCCCAGAGCCCAGTTTCTCGATGGAGCTGCCCACAACTTCCTTGCTGTCCCCGGCTCAAGAGCAAGGGCTACATCGATGGAGTCTCAAAACTCGGCTTCCACGTCCGAATTCGGAGGGGAAACACAGATCGCTTCAACTATTTCCGGAACGGATGATTTACGCAAGAATTCGTTGGCCAACAACGACGATATCATGAACGATGCAGAGGCGCTGAGGCCAGATCCTGGAACGGAGGCGGATTTTGAGGTTGAAGACAACAAGTTTGCATTTAGCCCTGGACAACTGAACAAGATGATCAACCCCAAAAATTTGGCCGCCTTTCATGCTCTCGGTGGCTTACGAGGTCTAGAGAAGGGCCTGCGTACTGACCGTCACAGCGGTCTAAGTGTGGATGAAGTTGGTTTGAGTGGCACCGTCGACTTTCAAGAGGCTGTTCAAGCAGGCGCTGAGGCTGAACAACACTACGGCACTGTGAAGAGGACGGCCACTTCCAACTCGCTAACGGCACCCGCAAAGATTTCCGAAAACTCGTTCGCGGATCGAAAACGCATTTTCAAGGACAATCGCCTGCCCGAAAAGAAAGCCAAAACCTTCTGGCAGCTCGCATGGATTGCCTACAATGACAAGGTGCTCATTTTACTGTCTGTTGCCGCCGTTATCTCGCTCGCACTAGGGATCTACCAGACTGTCAGACCTGCGCCCTCAGAAGAGCATGAAGCTCGAGTCGAATGGGTCGAAGGCGTGGCCATCATGGTTGCAATTTTTGTTGTAACTTTCGTGGGTGCGTTGAATGACTATCAAAAGGAGCGCCAATTCATCAAATTGAATCGTAAGAAGGAAGAACGCTTTGTGAAGGTCATTCGGTCTGGAAAGTCCCAGGAAATCTCGGTCTACGATGTCTTGGTCGGGGATGTTATGCACCTGGAGCCGGGTGATCTGATACCCGTGGATGGTGTCTTCATTGAGGGTCATAATGTGCGATGTGACGAATCTTCAGCGACCGGAGAATCTGACATTATCCGCAAAACCCCAGGTGACGAGGTCTTTCACGCCATTGAAACTCATCAGAACTTGAAAAAGATGGACCCGTTCATCCTGTCCGGCGGCAAAGTCTCTGAGGGTGTGGGCACATTTCTTGTGACTGCAACCGGTGTCAATTCGAGTTATGGAAAGACCTTGATGTCGTTACAAGACGAGACTCAGACCACCCCCCTCCAGGTAAAACTGAATGTTCTCGCCGAGTACATTGCGAAACTAGGATTGGCTGCTGGTCTTTTACTCTTCTTGGTGCTTTTCATCAAATTCCTCGCGGAGCTCAAGAATATTGATGGCGGTGCTCAGGGCAAGGGTCAACGTTTCCTCCAAATCTTCATCGTCGCCGTCACCATCATTGTGGTGGCAGTCCCAGAAGGCTTGCCCTTGGCTGTTACGCTGGCCCTTGCGTTTGCGACGACGAGGATGCTCAAGGACAACAATCTGGTACGACTCCTGCGAGCATGTGAGACTATGGGCAATGCTACCACTGTGTGCTCTGATAAAACGGGAACACTGACGCAAAATAAAATGACGGTTGTCGCGGGTACGTTGTCTACAGCTTCTAGATTCGGCGACAAACAACAACCCATTGAATCTACAGCTACTGGTGATGCGAAGGTTCCAGGTCCTACCGTGGCACCCAATGACGTTTCCTCGGCCGAGTTCTTTGCTACACTTTCTGAAGATACTAAGTCACTCCTCAAGGATTCGGTTATCCTCAACACGACAGCATTTGAGGGTGAAGAAGAAGGAAAGAAGGTGTTTATCGGATCCAAGACTGAAACAGCTCTGATCCAATTCGTCGTCGATCACCTTCCCATTCAGTCCATTGGTGAAGAACGAGCGAATGCAGAAATCGTCCAGATGGTTCCGTTCGATTCTGGTCGCAAATGTATGGCTGTGGTCATCAAACTCCCTAACGGCAAATATCGCATGATGGTGAAGGGAGCATCTGAAATCCTTATTTCTAAGTGTACCAGGATCGTCAGCGATCCCACAAAGGCACTGGTGGATGCACCAATGACTCTAGACCAGATGGAGGCATTGAACGGCATTGTCAGCAACTATGCGTCGCGGTCTCTGCGTACTATTGCTCTGCTCTACCGAGATTTCAATGAATGGCCGCCGCGAGGTGCTGCTTCTGCGGACGACAAGAAACAAGCCGACTTCGATAAAGTCTTCAAAGACATGGTCTTCCTCGGGGTTGTTGGTATCCAAGATCCCCTTCGCCCAGGCGTTGAGAAGGCCGTCCGCGATTGTCAAGTTGCCGGTGTATTTGTGCGCATGGTAACAGGTGACAACATTATGACCGCCAAAGCGATTGCAACTGAATGTGGTATTTTCACACCGGGTGGGATTGCTATGGAAGGACCTGTGTTCCGGAAACTGAGCTCAAAGCAGCTGACACAGGTGATTCCACGTTTGCAAGTACTTGCCAGATCAAGCCCCGACGACAAGAAGCTTCTCGTTGGACATCTGAAGAAGCTCGGAGAGACTGTGGCCGTCACTGGTGATGGTACCAATGATGCTCCCGCGCTCAAAGCTGCAGATGTTGGTTTCTCCATGGGCATCGCAGGCACAGAAGTCGCGAAGGAAGCGTCGGCTATCATCCTGATGGACGATAACTTTGCATCGATTGTAAAAGCCATCTCTTGGGGCAGGACCGTCAACGACGCTGTCAAGAAGTTCCTTCAGGTAAAACCCTTCAGTCATGCTGGAAGACTAACGATAGGCTGACATCGACCCAGTTCCAAATCACAGTCAACATCACCGCAGTCTTCTTGACCTTCATTTCAGCCGTTGCCAACGATGACGAAAGCTCTGTGCTGACGGCTGTACAACTTCTGTGGGTCAACCTGATCATGGACACTTTCGCTGCCCTCGCCCTCGCCACGGATCCTCCGTCCCCCTCAGTCCTACAACGACGACCGGAGCCGAAATCAGCACCGTTGATCACAGTCACAATGTGGAAGATGATCATTGGGCAGTCGATCTATCAGTTGGTCGTGACACTGGTCTTGTATTTCGCCGGGGAAAGTATCCTGTCCTATCAAACGCAACATGAAAAGGATCGCCTTCAAAGTACAATCTTCAATACGTTTGTATGGATGCAAATTTTCAATCAATACAAGTGAGTGAACTTCTGGCCATAAATTGACGTTAGTCAAACGCTGACGATATCCAGCTCGCGACGCCTGGACAACAACTTCAATATTTTCGAGGGAGTGCTTCGCAACTACTGGTTCATGGGAATCCAGATTATCATTGTCGGAGGCCAGTGCTTGATAATGTTTGTTGGAGGACAAGCCTTTTCGATCAATCGAATCAACGGAGCCCAATGGGGCTACTCGATTGTTCTTGGTGCACTCTCTGTACCGATGGCAGTCATCATACGATTGATCCCCGACGAGTTATTTGCGAGATTCATACCCCATTTGCCGCGGAAAAAGAAGCGGGGTCCAGATTTTGTGCTCGAAGACGACGAAAAGGTGCAATGGAACCCTGCACTGGAAGAGATTCGAGAAGAGTTACAGTTCTTGAAGAGAATCCGTGGCGGTCGCATATCGGAGCTCGCTTACAAACTACAACACCCACGAGATACATTTCTACCACGCTCACGCAGTCCGTCACGCTCACGATCAAACAGCGACTTACCGCAGACACCAGAAGGGGAAAATGTTGTATCAGATACACTAACAGGATCCCCAATCACCCCGGAAAGACTAAAACGCCGGGCAAGATCGAGTTCGAACTCGGTATTTGGGCCTGCCACGGCAATGGCTGGAATCATTGCAGGAAGCGTCGCTGGAGGTTGGTCACCGATCGAGAGGCGACCCGAAGAACAAGAAACAGTGCGTTTCACGAGAGCTCGATCTCATTCCGGTGTGGAAGGGACGAGTGGTATGGAGATCCATCCAGCAACACCGGCAGAGGATCCAGTTTTTGCCAGCTCGGCTCCAAGGGTTGGCGTCCCTCCCAGCCAAGATCCTGAACTTGCTCCGCATTTCGATCTTGCACCACCGCACAGTCCTACTGGACGACCCAAAGGCTCACATTCACGACAAGGATCTGCTGTGTGAAGCTGAAGCTATGTCTGTTGTGATGATGGGCAGGGATGATTTGCTTCGATGGGATCTACCACCCGAGGTAGCCACTCCGTTGCAGGCAAGATGGCATCCAACAGCAATCTATCCGCTTTGGGAAGAGCCGTGCTACGATACTCACAAGATAGGCGGCAATCCAAAGTCGTGGCTCGCTCGAAATGGATGTTGAATTTGCGTTGCAGCCAACCCGGAGCGTCCGATGGAATCTGCGCGCTAAGGCTGAACGCAAAAAAAAAGAGGCTACACGTTTCTGCGTTCTAGCGCCAGCTGGATCTGCCAAGGCGGCCGTAAATATGGGTGTGGAAATGGATAAGGGACTGGATCAGCGGGTCAAGGAAAATACGGGATACGAGAGTGTGGAAGAAACAAAAGGCTGGCTGGGAGCAAGAGGCACAACCTGCGAAGCACAGGAATGTTTGGCTCCTGTACAGCACATAGAACATAGCGCTTCTCACCACATGTCCCCTTATTGATAATAGGATATGATGAGGACAAGCAGTGCAACCTGATCATGGAAGACTTGAGTAAAGAGGATATTATCCTAGTACTAACACAGGCGTACCACCAACACTCCCTATTCTCGTATGCTCGAGTAAAGGTAAAGGGGCTGATGCGGTGGAATCTTGCCCCCGAGGCTACCCCGTGAGGCTGTGAACCGAGGCAAAAACCCCCCATCCCATCCCAAGCCGCATTTCTACTGTCGGTTGTTGCCAATGGAGGCCAGGCATTGCCTTTTTTAAACTCCACATGCGCTCCCATATTATCTCATCGCACTGCTACGTCCGCATCTCGCTCTTCGCTTCGTCGTATCCGCCGGTCACGGGCGGCCCGTTTATCGCTTCGTCTTGCTGGATATCTTGTTGTTGGGGAACAATGGCTTCTGGGCGGCCAACGTTAAATAGAATTGGGCTCTGCATCCCTCGCTCGACGTCTCTTTTCAACCAGCCTGCAACCAGGAATTCCCTCTCTATCCGTCTATATTGGACTTCTCCTGCACACACTCTCTACCCTCGGTTCAGCGCTCACAGGCCGATCTACCTTGCCGCTGGACAATTTTCCGCACCCGCCTCGTCATCCGTTCGAGTAAGAGCCTTTCGATATTCAAAACCTGTACAAAAGACTACCTGGAGTCCATATTCTACAGGTGGGTTACATTCAATGCAGTGTCAGTCCTGACGGATTGCTGATACACGAGGCCGCAGTTGTCGTCCACAACAAAGGACAAGCTCGTGTCCGCCGGACAATCAGCTTCATCCTCATCAGCACCACCTTCTTCGCAATCGGTGCCTATTTTGCCATTACCTACGCCCCTCCGATCCCCACGCCCTTCATCATGGGTTCAATGCCCTCGGATGCCGAAACACTCGAGCTCTACTCCCCGGACAATGACTTTGCACGCGAAGTTGACGAACACATCAAAAATTGTGCCCTGGCACAGTCCCTGAGGGCCAATCCCGATTTTGTCGAGTCAAGACCGCACCTGAAAATCCCCGAAGAGCTGAGATCACACAATTTGACGGCAGGGACATTGGCGGGCCCAGGAATGATCGTGGTGCCCCCGTACTACTTCAACGAAAAAGGCGGAAAATCCATGGTGCAGATATTCTACGTCGGCACGGATGTTTCTGGACATCCGGGGATCGTGCATGGAGGGTTTCTGGCCACCATGCTCGACGAGGGACTGGCGCGGTGCGCATTCCCTGCCATGCAGAATAAAGTGGGCGTGACTGCCAATTTGAACATTAACTACCTCAAGCCGACGATGGCTGGACAGTTCCTGGTGCTGCGGGCCAAGACGACGAAAGTCGAAGGCCGCAAAGCGTGGGCTGAAGGGTGGATTGAGAGCCTTGAGGTTGCCGAAGGAGAGGAACCCGTGAAACTGGTCGAGGCGAGCGCCCTGTTCGTTGAGCCAAAACACGCACAGGTACGTCTGCTGTGGCAATTTCTAGTTAATGCGGGCTGCTGTGACTGACAATCCGCGTCATAGGTGTTGAAATCTCTTTACAGGGTCACCACATGACCTCAAGCGTAAAGGATACCGTGGTGTTGGAAATTGTCGACTATTCTTTTCCCTCCAAGACCTTATTGTGCTCAACTCGGTTCAAGAAGAGTATCAAAAGCGTTTAGACTATGGAGAGTGGAGTACATACTGGGACCTTTGCTTCGCGGGGTAGGAGATGGGTTGGGGATATATGCCAATTTGAAGCTTGCGATTTTGAACAGATGGCTAAGATGGCATGGCGGGCATGTTGTCAACGAGGCTGGGAGCGATTTGGCTCATTTAGAGGTGTTCGTGACTTTTTTTTGATACGTTCTAGAGTCGTGCATAGATTATGTGTACAAGAACACTGAATATCAAGAACAAGAATTGTAAATCAAACACATGGCATTGGCTTTTGGCCGCCATCAAATTTTTGTCACCAGATGTGTGAGCTGTCGTGATCGTAAGGTGGGATGTCGCAAAGGATTATTATCAACAACCTCGGAGGCAAATGACGAGGGGTAGCGGGCTTGACGAAATGGAAGATGATGACAGGTCACATTCTATTCTAGAGTAGCCCGAAACGGCAAAATCGCAGCAGCAAGGTGAAATAACGTAGGTCCCAGCGAGACACTTCCTATCTCGACCCATTATTATTCCTACTCGTCCACGATCCCGGCATATTTGTCCCCGATTTCGAAACGCTTCCAGGAACTCCACCGATGGGCGAGAGGGGGGTGGGGGAGTGAGGAAATGTTCTTGGTCAACGGCATATCAGTGGCATGACGATCCCGCATATGTCGTATGATGGATGGAGTCCTGGCGAAGAGGACACATCCCAGTAGTTTTTGCATCCAATGCCCTCGATGGGAATACCCCTCGGTGTCCTCGCTCGCTGACTGCTACCTTTGTATTGTTTTTTTTTTTAACCACTGCATCGCTCCGTGTGACCCCTACCTTGCTCTGTTGCCGAGAACAACACACAGAGGAGGGGAAGACGACAGGCTTCCATCGTGTTCTTGTTTGAATGGCTGGCCTCAGTTTGTCCTGGATCGTTGATGTGGAAGTGTTTCCCCCTGGCTCTTTGCATCCTCTCCCCACCACCCCTTGCCCTCCGAGAAATTCGGTTCCATGTTGTTTGGTTAGAAACTAGAAGATTCGATCGCCAACGGGGGCATTTTCTGGGGCGGCTGCCATCTGCGGACAAATGACGTTGCAGGTAATAAAAATCTAGAATCGATAATGCTTGCGTCTTCACTTGTTGTGCCGAGGGTGTCGAGGTTCCCAACCCCTTGTCATGCCCAAAACTCATGGGCAAAGTTTGGTGGCGGGTGGGATGGCATGGGATGGGATGGTCTTTCGCTGGACATTGCCCAAACAGTGCAAATCCGGTCGCTCCAACTAGCCGTTCTAAGAAAAACGCACGAAGCTCACAGACCAACCGCAAGAGAGCTAATAAATCCCTGGCTGGCTAGACGCCGATTTCCGGCGGGGGCTTATGCGCTAATCCTACCTTGGCATATGGGTAGCGAGGTAGGAAGGTACCTGGTATTTGATTCACTTGAGGGGTCTCCCTTTCACTTTGCTCTCTGTATAAAGACGCGGGGTAGTTCTCTCCCTTCCCGACATGTCTCTTGCTCTTCTCTCACCTTCACGTTGTACTTCTCTTCGACTGTCTTTTCCTCTCACTAGACTGACAAGAGCATCTGCAGCCATGGCTTCGTCTAAATGCCCAATGAGAGAGGCCAATGTCGCTGGTGGCGGCACCCGTAACCGCGACTGGTGGCCAAACGACCTCAGACTCAACATCCTCCGCCAGCACACTCCTGTCTCCAACCCCCTCGACAAAGACTTCAGCTACGCACAAGCCTTCAAGAGCTTGGACTATGAAGCTGTGAAGAAAGATCTCCACGCTTTGATGACAGACTCTCAGGACTGGTGGCCCGCGGACTTTGGTCACTATGGTGGTCTCTTCGTTCGAATGGCCTGGCACAGTGCTGGTACCTACCGTGTCACCGACGGCCGTGGTGGCGGTGGTCAAGGTCAACAACGCTTTGCTCCCCTCAACAGCTGGCCCGACAATGTCAGCTTGGACAAGGCACGCCGCTTGCTCTGGCCCATCAAGCAGAAGTACGGCGACAAGATCTCCTGGGCGGATCTCATGCTCCTCACTGGCAACGTCGCCCTCGAATCCATGGGTGTCAAGACCTTTGGCTTTGCTGGAGGCCGCCCAGATACCTGGGAGGCTGATGAGTCTGCCTACTGGGGCGGCGAAACCACCTGGCTAGGAAATGACATTCGTTACTCGGAGGGCCACGCAGGCGTCGCGGGTGATGGAGTTGTCGATGGTGATGAACATAAAAAAGACCACAAGGACATCCATACCCGGGACCTCGAGACTCCGCTCGCAGCTGCGCACATGGGCTTGATCTACGTCAACCCAGAAGGCCCTGACGGCATCCCCGACCCTGTCGCCGCCGCTCGAGACATCCGCACTACTTTTGGTCGTATGGCTATGGACGATACAGAAACCGTTGCCCTGATTGCCGGTGGTCACTCCTTCGGTAAGACACACGGCGCCGGTCCTTCGGACAATGTGGGCAAGGAACCACAAGACGCTCCCATCGAGCAACAGGGTCTTGGATGGGCCAGCAAATTTGGCTCCGGCAAGGGCCCAGACACCATCACCAGCGGTCTCGAAGTCACCTGGACCGGCACACCCACTAAATGGAGCAACAAGTACCTCGAATATCTCTTCAAGTACGAGTGGGAGCTCACAAAGAGCCCTGCTGGTGCCAACCAGTGGGTTGCAAAGACAGACGACTTGATCATCCCTGATGCCTATGACCCAAACAAAAAGCACAAGCCAACCATGTTGACAACCGACCTTTCCCTCCGTTTCGACCCCACATACGAAACAATCTCACGTCGTTTCCTTGAGCATCCAGAGGAACTCCACGACGCTTTCGCTCGTGCCTGGTTCAAGTTGTTGCACCGTGACATGGGTCCACGATCCCGCTGGCTCGGTCCGGAGATCCCGTCCGAGATCCTGATCTGGGAAGACCCTCTTCCTCCTGCCAACCACCCCATCATCGACGAGAGTGACATTTCCAGCCTCAAGCAAAAGATTCTGGCCACTGGCATCAAGCCTTCCGACCTGGTGACTGTTGCCTGGGCATCGGCTTCAACCTTCCGCGGCAGCGACAAGCGGGGCGGCGCCAACGGTGCTCGCATTCGCCTCGCTCCCCAGAACAAATGGAAAGCGAACAACCCCCAGACACTGAGTCAAGTGCTCAGCGCTTTGGAGAAGGTACAACAGGAGTTTAACAGCTCGGCAAGCGGTGGCAAGAAGGTGTCACTGGCGGATCTCATCGTCCTGGCAGGCAGTGCTGCTGTAGAGAAGGCTGCCGGCATCCCTGTTCCTTTCACCCCTGGGCGCACTGATGCCACTCAAGAGCAAACCGACGCCCAATCTTTCGAACACCTCGAGCCCTTGGTTGATGGATTCCGCAACTATGGCAAGGGAACAAGACGTGCCCGCACCGAACACTTCCTCATCGACAAGGCACAGCTGCTCAACCTCTCTGCCCCTGAAATGACCGTGTTGGTTGGTGGTCTACGTGTCCTGAACGCCAACTGGGATGGTTCTTCTCATGGTGTCTTCACCAAGCGCCCTGGTCAACTGACCCCCGACTTCTTCACCAATCTCCTCGATATGGGCACCACCTGGAAGGCCGCCAGCGCCGATGAGGAACTCTACGAAGGCTTCGACCGCAAGACCGGCCAGAAGAAATGGACTGCCACTCGCAGTGACCTTGTCTTTGGCTCACACGCCGAGCTACGTGCTATTTCCGAGGTGTATGCCAGCGCTGGTAACGAGGAGAAGTTTACCAAAGACTTTGTTGCAGCTTGGGCGAAGGTGATGAACTTGGACCGATTCGACGTGGCTTCCGCTCAAGACCCTGCAAGAGCGCGTCTATAGGCGAGATGAAAGACGCTGTGAAAAAGGGAGAACTATGATAAGCATCGTTGTGCCGTAAGTCGCTTTATCATGCGGTTTGGAGTCGGGTCAGTGGGCAGTCAATTAAGTTCAATCGGTTAGCAGGCTCAATGAGCTGCAACCGTACTAAATAGCAATACAAAATGTACCAGTTGAAATATGACTTTGTATTTTCGATCCATCTAAGATGATAAAGCTGAGTTGTTAGAGCACTAATGGGATGCTGCCCCAAGGGTGTGTAGAACAACGTGGTGTGCATGCCTACAAGATGGAAATGGGCATGACGCACCCCTCCCACTGGGAGCTTCGACACGCCAATCATCATATCGCAGCGAGGGAGCTCCAAGGTCCGCCAACTGCACCATCTAAATAGTTCACCCGGATCGCTGCGAGCAATCGACACCGGTGCAGCCTTTCTCTCTCATGCATACTCGTATGGACCTGTGGGACTGAAAGCTCCTCGTATCTTGTATACTTTGTGTCTCTCTTCATCTCGCTCTCCCCCCCGGTCCCGAGCACCCCAAACCTCCCAATCCCAGGCCCCCAAGCCCGCAACCGTCCTCCAACATGTCTGCCAAATATCTCTTCATCTCGGTCCCCTCGAGTATAACCCCATCGGGCCACAAGGACGACGCGATTGCATCGGTCCAGAAAGCCGCGAACCCGTCCAACGGCGACGTCCTCCCGTTCTCCATCCCCGAGTTCAAGATCGGCACGCTCGATGCCCTGTTACAGCAGTCGGAGGAACTGGCCAAACTGGCGGCAGTTTGTCACGGAGTGGTGGGGAAGGTCGGGGACACGTTGAAGAATATCCTGGACGGGGACGAGGAGAAGATTGCGATGCACAAGAACGTCAATGACAGTATGTTTTCAGAATGCGACTGGAACTTGGCCCGCGTATCGCGGATTTGCGGGATTGAGAGGGCTGACTTTTGCTTGATTGCTGGCCCTATCCAGAACCACTCGAGCAATACCTCCGGAGTTTCTCGTGGAATAAAGTCAAATACCGCGCCGACAGGCCGCTGTCGGAGCTGATTGATCTTCTACAGAAGGTAATGTTTTACTGCTCCGAGAGGTTTTGGTGAGCATTGCCCTGCTGACTCTGACGGGGAAAACAGGAAGCCAATTCGATAGACAACGACGTTC